CCCGCCGCTCTCGCAACGCCCCGCCGCTCGCTGCTGCCCGCGCGGGCGGCCCCACCCCCGTGTGCCCCCTTCCCCAGGCCCCTGGCTCACCGGCTCTGTGCGCTTGGCCGCCTCTTCGGCTTCCTCATCCGGCATCTCGGGATCCCCAGGCAGCGGCTTCGGCAGGAACACGCGCTCCATCTTTTCAAATTCCGGGAAGATGTCCGGACGGCGGCTGGGCTGCGGCGCCTCCCACTCCTGTGGGGCAGGGGGTGGGGCGGGGCAGGCAGGCGCGGCGAGGCGAGGCGGAAGGGGGGGTTGGTTGGTGGGGCGGAAGCGAGAAACACTGTGCATGAGAAGATCCACAGGGAGGGGCTAGAGTGTGGCCTGGTGTGATACCAGGCGAGGGCTCGCCGCTGGATGGCTTGTGGAGACGGCATGACCTGCTGCATGCGTCGTGTGGCGAGTGCACGGGGGTCGCCATGCTTAGGGCTGCTTCGCAGAAAGCAGCCTCCTGCCGTCGGACAGCCGCACACGGCCACACCGCCTACAGCCAGCCGCCAACCCATGCACGTGTGCGCACCTGTGGGGCATCAGCTGGGGAGCGTGCCTCCTCTGTGTCGGGCTGCGACGCGGCGACTGTCAGCAGCGGCGCTCGGTGTGGCCCCAGCGGCCGCCGCACTGCGCTGGCGATGCAGCCGCGACCGCCGGCAAGGCCACATGAGGTTATGGGCCTTACTGCCAGTCTCCGCGTTGCCATACGCGCCGCGGGCGCTCCGGCAGCCGAAAATTGCCGGCAGCTGAGCATGGCAGGCAATGTAGCCCTACTATCCAATATCTACAGGTTTTATAATGCCAAATATGGCTTGTCGGCACCAATTGAGTGGTGGCTGGTGCGTGTAGAAGACTTCGCTGCCGAGTGCAAATGGACCGATCTTGAGCTTCTCAGCTGTCAGCGCGTGTTGTAAATCATCCGGGTCCTCTGTTGTGTATCAAAGCTTTGCCGTCATTGGGGTCACTCTGTCGCAGTCTATCATAATTTCTTCTGCCTCTTCGCAAACAGGGCCGCGCCAGCGTGCCCTCTGACCCCAAAGCGATCCTTCTGTTAGTGCAAGTAGGCTGCATATCCCTTCGGCCCCCCTACAGCCTCCTCGATCCACGGGATCCAACGCACTGGGTGTGTTGGCAGCACGGGCCCCCGCCTTGGTGCCGTCGCTATCCGGGCCGCTTACGCACACAGACGTGGTAGAGACGGACATCTCAAGCTCCCTGTCCATAGCCCGGGGCTCGCCCACCGAGGCAGCCAGGGCGCGGGATGCTTGATAATGCACCTGGCTCCCAGGGAGCAGCTCTGGCCTGCAAAGGAGGACAAAAAGGTGGTTTGAAGAGTGGAGAGTTCGAGGAGCGCGAAGCCGCGTGCGACGCGTCCTGCGTGCCGGACGTCGGGGCGCCCGCCGCCGACGGTGCCGGTCCGCGAGCTGCAGTCCTTGCGGGCGCCTCGTGGCCGCCGGCCCAGCAGTCGCCCAGCCCTGCGGGCTCTTGTGCGGCGACCGACCGCGCCGCTGCCACGGCCGCCGCGCAGCAGCAGCGCGCGCGGCCGACGAGTGACGTCGCCGCCACCAGCAAAGGCACCGCAGGGGCCTCTTGGATGCGCGCTTTTGCGTGCTGCTTCGCGCCGGCGCCCCCCTCAATGCACGACGCTGGCGCCGGCGGCGCGCCAAGCGCACGCAAGCAGCAGCAGCAGCCCTGCGACGCCGCGGCGCGCGACGGCGCAGACGTCGTGCGCGGTGTGACAGACCAGCAGCTGCGCGTCGCTCAGCCCGCTGACGCAGCAGCAGCAGCAGCAGCAGCAGCAGCAGCAGCAGCAGCAGCAGCAGCAGCCGCCCGAGCTGCCGCCCCCGCCGCCCGTCGACAGCCCGATCGCCAGCGTCGGC